ATGCATTCATTCTCGCTGTTGCTGTTTAGTCGTTTCTGATTCTTTGTGACCTCATTTAGGCAGAGATACTGGAGTGGTTTGCCATTTCTTTCTCTGCCTCGTTTTACAGATGAGGAAACTGAGAAGCAAACAGAGTTAAATGACTTGCCCAGGGTCACACAGCTAGAAAGTGTCTAACACCAGATTTGAACTCAGAAAGATGAGTCTTCTTGACTCTAGGCCCAGCACCCTGTCTTCTGTGCCTCCTAGCTGCCCTACGTCACTGATAGAAATATTGAGTAGCATAGGGCCAAGGACAGATTCCTGTGACACTTACTAGACACATTGTTCCACATTGACATCAACCTACTAATGACTAATTTTGAGGTGCAGTCATTCAATGAAACATGAATGCAAGTATACCATCTCCTGGCCACTTCATCATGTCCACAGGGATGGCATTAATAGACTTTGTCGAACACCTTGCTAAAATCTAGGTAGTGGGTGTGTAGCTTTTCCTTCGTCTACTAACTAGCCTAGCAAGCCTATCAAAAAAGGAAATGGAGTTAGTCTGAGGTGATCTGTTCTTGATGAAGCCATTCTAGGTCTTAATGATCCATATTTCCCTTTCTAAATGCTTACATACCATCTCTTTAACAATGTGTTCTATAAGAAAGATCCCATATGTACCTAAACATTCACATTTACACTTTTTGTGGTAACAAGGAATTGGAAACAAAGCAGATTCCCCTCTTTTGAGGAATAGCTAAACAAATTATGAATGTAATGGAATATTATTGAGTTGTAAGAAATGACAAATATGAAGAATTCAGATGAGCAGGGGAAGATGTATGTGAACTGATACAGTGAAGTAAACAGAACCAACAAAACAATATATACGACCACAAAATTTTAGCATAATGTACAAAAGAAATGAAGGTAAACACTAGGTAACTACAATGACCAGGTTTGGCCTCTAGAAGAATTGAAAAAAACACAGTTCCTTCCCTTCAGTGCAGTGGTGTGAGTTTATAGGTGTGGGATGTTGCAAATGATGTCAGACGTGGTTGTTATGTTTGGTTAGTTTCTGTGAACTTTTTTTTTCTCTTTTAAAAAGTTTGTTAAAGGATTAGCTCACTGAGTCTGGGACAGAGTGGAATATTGTGGTGAAATAAAAGTTAAGTAAAAATACATCAATAAAAACACAATTAAAAATTTTAAAATAATAACGCACTCTAGAATTTTGCCCAAGTCTATCCTCTCTTTTCTCTCTCTCTTTTTTTTTTTTTGAAAACTGGGGCAGCATCTGTCCTTGCTCAGTTCTTCGGTCTCTTTTCTGTCATCCCAATATCTTGCAGAGGCCATGCACAATGACTGGTAATTAAATCTTCTGGTTTTTTTCATAGCCTATTCATCCAGGGCCTGAGTACTTGTGCTCAGTGAGAACATCTGGGTGCTCTCTTGTCCCCTATCTATAACCTCCTTCACCTTATCTTTGAAGTCCCTATTAAACCATTTTTGTTTGGTCTCTCCAAACTTCATCCTCCTTGACTGAGAAAATAAATGCAAAATAAGAGTCGGGTAGTTCAATTTTCTCTCCATCCTCTCTTATCATTCCTATCTGCCCAGGAAGCAGCCCTATTCCTGCTTTGGTCTTTTTACCTTTGACATGAATCTAAAAAGGTCTTTTTGGTTCTTAGCACTCATCACCGATCTCATTTCACTCTGAGGTTTAGTGCCCCTAATACGATTTTTACAGGACCATGCCACTCTTCTGGGACTCCTGAAATGGAACACAATACTGCAAATGTGTTCTGACCAGGGCAGAGTACGGTGAAATGATAACCTCATTATGTTCTGGATGTGACTCTCAGTAGGCAGCTTGGTGGCTCTGTGGAGAGACCTGGAGTTAGGAAGACCTGAGTTCAAATCCAGCCTTAGATACCTACTAGGTATGTGACTCTAGGCAAGTCACTTAATCCCGTCTACCTTAGTTTCCTCATCTGTAAAATAGAGATAATAATAGCACCTACCTCCCAGGATGGCTGCTAAGATAAAGCTTTGCAAACCGGAAAGCATTAGAAAAATACTAGCTATTGTTATTAATGCAGCCTAAGATCTCATTCGATTTTTGATGGCCATCTCATGCTAGTGACTCCTGTAAAGCTAGCAGTTAGTGCATACTAAGCTTGTTCTCTTTGCTTTCATCTTTTTTGCATGCCATTCTAGAATCTAAGTGGGCAGCTGAATTCCTTGTGCAAAAACAGCTGTCACTTCAGCCAGATTCCTCTGTTCTTACTCATCAGAATCCCTTATGTTTGTGACCTTGTCATTTCATTCTTGTGAGCTTGCTCTCCCTTTCAGGTGGACTTCACCCAGGGGGTCAAATTCAGAGGACCAGCGTTCAAGTCTTGACTCTGCTAGTAGATTACTCTCCTTGAGCCTCAGTTTTCTCATCTGCAAAATAGGCAATAATTCTCACTCTCCTTTTCTCAAATGGCTGTATTATGGATCAAATGAGATAATGTATATAAAGAATTTTGTAGTTATAAATCTCTCTGTGTACATGATTACTGTTATTAAGAAGTCAACTCTCATCAGTCAAGCAGTCTTCAGTGATGTCAGTCTGGTGGGGCAGCTAGGTGGTACAGTAGATAGAGTGATGATGGGCCTGGAGTCAGGAAATCCTGAATTCAAATCTAGCCTCAGATACAAACTAGCTGTGTGACCATGGATGAGTCACTTAAACTCCGTTTTCTTCTTTGTAAAATGGATGATAATAGCACCTACTTCCTATGGTTGTCGTGAGAATCAAATGAAATGATAGTTGTCAAGTGCTTGGTACATAGTAAATGCTGTAGGAATGTTAGCTATTATTATTAGTGTTCTCACAAGCCATCAATCAGTCAACATCACTCTACAAGTGTTTATTTACAGGGATGTGCTGGAGCCAGCTTCTTCAGGCTCAAGGGCCAGTTGCTAAATTTTTGTAGGAAATCAGGGCTTGATTTATTGCTTTGTTGATTGTGTAGACTGAAGAAAGTGATGGAGAAAATATTAATAATGCGAATTTGACTTAAGAGAGTATTACACACACACACACACACACACACACACACATCCAGAGAACTGGTTGTTTAAAATTTACAGCTCATCCTGAAAAGCATCTGCCATATGCCAGGCTCTGTGTTAGGCAATAGGGATATAAAGACAAAAAAGAATGACTCATCCCGGACCTTAAAGAGGTTATATTCTATGAGGTAGACAACATGTACACACACATATGTATATAAATATATGTACATATATATTTGTAAAATATATGCAAAATAAATACAAAGCAAGCAGGAGAAATTTGCCCTCGCTCTTCCCTGAGGAGAGACAAGGAGGGCAGTATTATATAGAAAAGATAGAAATAAACATTTATTAAGCACCTACTATGTTCCAGGCACTGGACTAAGAGTTTTACAAATATGATCTCATTTGCCCTTCACAATAAACCTGCAAGGTAGTTGCTGTTATAATCTTTATTTTACAGATGAGGAAACTGAGGCAGGCAATGGTTAAGTGACTGCCCAAGATCACACACAGAGAGAATGTCTAGAACAAGGGTCTTCCTGACTTCAGGTACAACACTCTATCCAGAGATTCTTTTTTTTTTTTTTTCTGATTAGTCAATGGGGTTAAGTGACTTGCCCAGGATCATACAGCTAGTATGTGTCAAGTATCTGAGGTCAAATTTGAACTCAGGTCCTTCTGACTCCAGAGATGGTGCTCTATCCACTGCGCCACCTAGCTGCTCCTATCCAGAGATTCTATAGAGAGGAAAGTGCTAGATTCGGCATCAAAGGGCTTAGTTTCAAATCCCAGCTCTGTCACTTACTGGTTATGTGATCCTGGGCAATACTTCTCTGGGCCTCCGTTCCCTCATTTATACAATGAGTGGATTAGATGGCCTCTAACATTCCTTCTGGGTCTAAATCTATGATCTTTGACATGGAGGGATATAGCTCTGGATCCTTCATTTAAAAAAAAAAATTTCCTGAAGGGTGTGTGTGAGTGGGTGTGTGTCTGTGTGTGTATGTGTATGTGTATGTGTGTGTGTTGTTGTTGTTGTTGACTCCTGTCTGACTTTTTAATGACCCAATTTAGGGCTTTCTTGGCTGGAGTGGTTGCTAGTTCCTTCTCTAGCTCATTTTACAGATGAGAAAACTGAGGCAAGCAGGGTTCAGTGATTTGCTCAGGGTCATACAGCTCCTAAGTGTCTGAGGCAAGATTTGAGCTCAGGTCTTCCTGACTCCAGGCCTGGTGCTCTATCCATTGCACCATCTAGCTGCCTGGACATATATACATATGTACATATATACACTCAATGCCTGTCTATATCTGTCTATCTGTCTGTCTGTCTATTTATCTATCTTTGCAAGTATAATGTGGGAGCCAGAATCTGTCAAAGGTAAAAAGCAGAGACAGTCTCTTGAGGGTCCTTCTTTGATATCCTGGACCAGCTTGGTAGGCATGAAGTATGCAATTAATTCCCACTTATTCCCCTGGACACATTAATTTTTCCCTAGGGAATATGCCCAAATTTTAGAGTTTTTTAGAGTGAGTGTACTTGGTGACACAAAGCACTGAATCTGGCTAGTTGGTTACGGCGTGTAGAACTCTGTCCTCATCACTGTGAGAGCGTTTAGGTCGTAGGGCATCTCACCTCTTGTTAAGGCTCATTCTGTGTCTAACAAGGGTGAAAATAAAAGTGATGCAGCCAAGGATGTAGACAGGCCTCTGAGAGAATGGCAGTGTTGAAGCTGGCTTCCTGCACCCTTCTCTAGAAGGTGTCACATGGGTTCCATGGTTTCTATTGAATGGCCAATTAGAAGCCAGGTTGGCCATTAGCTCAGTTTGGGTTACACAATAAAGTAAGCAGTTTATTTAGATCACCTGCCCAGCTTTGGCCCAGGCCTTCTAGGACTCTCTAAAGTGATGGTGGTTGATGGTCTGTATCCATTTAACCCTTACAGGTGGTACCAGGATGAATTTGCAACCAGGACAATGAGGGAGGAGGGGACAACCGGCTCAGGAGAGACTTTCTCCAAGTGAGACTAGACGCCTTTCAGACTGACTCTAGTGTGAAAATTATGAGGCTGGTATTAATGTTCGCCTGCATCGTGCTGTTTGGGACTGCAGGACTTGTGGTCTTCATGCACCTGCAGGATCCAGTGGAAATCATCCCTCATCAGACACCAGGTTAGTGACCTTTGCCTCCCCGACTAGTGCTTGTGGTCTCTTCCTGATCAGGGAAAGGTTTGTTCCTTCACAAGGTTGATACAGCTTAGAAGAATCAAGACTCCCTTGATGCTTTCCCAGGCCTGGGCACAGAATTAGCTCTTGGGATCCTGGGCCCACATTGGAGCACAGCATCTTAGCTCAGTGGAGAAGAGTTAGGGCTGGGAACAAGATGGATTGTGGCCAGAAAGGGATAATACTGTTGAGGGTTAAATGCTAGGGGTGCTGGGACCCCAAAATCACGACATGCTGGTCCTGCCTGAAAGTATTCGACCCAAACCTTCTTTCAGCCAAAGACAGGGTTTATTAAAGATAAGCCATATAGGCCAGACTCTGAAGGAATCCGAACATTTGTGAAGCTCGTAAAGACGAGTAGTCATGAGGAAAGAAGTCAGAGGGCCTACATTCAAATCATCTTGTGTGACCTTGGACAAAAGTCAACACCTCTCTTGGTCTATTTCCTCATCTCTAAATGAAGGGGTTAGACTAAATGGCCTCTAAGCTACCTTCCACTCCAAAATTATGACTGTATGAGCCAAAAATAAGAGGCTCCCCCTCTTGAACAATGATCTAGATATGCTGCTGAGTATAATACAGACCATCATACAGAAGGTAATATACACTTTTGTTATAGAAGCAACATCTCCTCTCTGGACAGTTAGGTGGCTCAGTGGATAGAGCTCCTGGCCTGGAGTCAGGAAGACTCATCTTCCTGAATTCAAATGTGGCTTCAAACACTTATTAGCTGTGTGGCCCTGGGCAAATCACTTAACTTGTTTTCCTCAGTTTTCTTATCTGTAAAAGGAGCTGGAGAAGGAAATAGCAAACCACTCTAGTATCTTTGCTAAGAAAACCTCAAATAGGGTTATGAAGGGTCAGACACACCTGAAAAATGACTGAACAACAATCTTCTCTCTGAGTTCATGTGGTGGATAACTGCTGCCACATATATATTTACCACAATACGGAAATTATGGAGGTAAAGATCTAGGTTTTATCCTTATGCTCAAGCATAGGTTCAGACCTCAGAGAAAACCTGAACAATCATCAGGATTCTAACGTTTCCTACAGGAAACTTTGTGCCAGAGTGACAATGAAATAATTCATTTATATATTGCAACCTTGTAGATTCCCCAGGCCATAAAAGTTAAAGAGAAGATAGGTCCATAATCCCATACTTCCTTCAACGTCATAAAAGTTGAACAAACTCAGTTAAACAGAGTCATAATCTCATCTATCCCCTAAGGAAACAAACATCGTAGTCAAACAATAGGTAAATTAAATCAGGTTACAGATTAAACTGCATTTGGAGGATTCACAATTGGCTGATTGTCTCCACCGAGACTGGGACAACTGAGTTTCTTTCTCTGTCTTTTTATCTAGGGAATGTTTAAAACTAAGTAAATTTTCACATCCCATGGGACAGGTTTTGGTTAGGTGAGGTTAATGTCAGCCAAAATTTGCAGGAGGAATAGCTCTGAACTCCAAATAATTAAGAAAAATTAAAAATTCCTGTGACATCTTCCTTCAGGGTGTGGTTTTCACCAGAGTGGTTGGGTTTTCTCCACTGGCCTTAGTTCCTTTTGGGTCTATCTCAGCTTCCTCTAGATGTTCCCCTTCATTTCCCACCCCCTCCCCCATCAACACTGGGTGGTTTGGCAGAAGCTCAGCATAAAGCCCTTTCTTTTTTCAGAACAACACATTCTGGGTTTCTGTGGCCGTGGCAGTAGCACCCGGGGGAAGCAAGGAGAAAATAAGAGGAAAGAGAGTATTCTTTAATATAATTCTGCCGCTCCCCTCCTCCATTTAACTTAGTAAATAGAATTACCCCAAACTTGAAAACATAGTGAAGAAAGGTGAGGAGAGAGGAATAAGGCAGATTTAGTATGAATTAGTGTAGGTTTTGAATTACAGAGAAACTATAAATCAATGCCACTTTATTGTTTTCAAGTATGTACAATACTGTCAGGTGAAGGTAAGGAGTGTTCTAAGTAGAGGCCAGTTGAGATTTGCTTTATTATGTAAATAAGATCAATTTGTAATCAGCATATCGATTGTATGTAAATAGAACTTCTAAAAAGCTTGAAGACTGCTGTTCTCTTACCTAAGCTTAAAAAAAAAAAATCCCTCAAACTCAATCTTTATGTTGATATTGCAAAAGTAAACTTCAGCCCAGATTCTATCTAAATTATCACAAATTTTAAATTAGTAGAGCCCAAATTGAAGTTCTATGTAAATATTAATTACTAAATTAATAATATTGTTAGGACATGTAGTATACCAGCAAATTAGCCTAGGAGGTGAAAGAAATTAGGCTACAGGCATATTGGCATTTCAGTAGTGATGGGCAGGGTGGGCCTGGGGTGCTACCTTGCAGTTCCCAGTGACCCTCAACAGTGTATGCATTGCATACTCAGCTGAGTGTCTTCGTTCTGCATGCAGCCAGAGGCTGGGAGGTCCCACTTTCCCTTGAAGCAAGCTTACCCCATAGCTCCTTGTTGGCTTGTTCCACTCTGGAGAAGGGCACCCCTGTGTTCATAGCAGCACAGATCGAGTCTAATTTACTCATTTTACAGATGAGGAAACTGAGGCTCAAGTGAGGTTCAAGTGACTTGCCCTAAGTCAAGCAAGTAATGTTTCTGATGCCAGTTCTCTTTCTGCTGTTCTATTCTGTCCTGCTAAACATTTGGCTACATAAGACCCTGGGATGTTGTCACGTGCAGTTTTTTGACTTCTGGGTTCTGGGTTGAGAGCCCTTGCTTGCAAGGGAGGAATTTTAGAGTGGGGGAGATTTCCCTGGGAGAGGAGAGTCTATATGTCACACTTGGCCAAGGGCAGTAGGAGCAACAGTGCCAGGTATAGTCAAGGCTTCTTTCCCTTCCTTGCCAGGCAGGACTTTGGCTCCTATGAAATCAGCCTTTGAGGAGCAGTACTCGGCACTAGGCGTGGGCCGTGTGGTGGCTGGCCAGCCGTGGATGCGCTCAGTACACCAGGGAAAACCTTGGCCATAACACTTTAAGTAATGCTTACATTCCTTTCCCTGAGCAAAGCACTCCTGACAGTGGCTGTTTGTGTTGATTTGTTACTATTCATTTATTTTTGCCTGTGCTTCACACTGCACCCTAATTGTGATGCTGCACCGAGAAAGCAATATCAAAGTAATTTTCCACAACATTAGTTACAATTTTCTTCTGATCTTTCAAGTGAAACAATCCCATCCTGTTGGCTTCTGTGAGCATATAAGCCTTGATTACATTTATCTGTTGGGAACCAATGCTTACAAAGTCTAGGTGTCCTACATCGGGGCTGTGTGGCCAGATCTTCCTTCTGTCCGCTGACTGACAAATGGTAACTCCCTATATTTACATAGATATGGAGCAGGATGCCTCGTCAGGGATTTGGGGATTTGGGTCTGCTGGCCAGTCATCCGGAGTGGACCTCAAAGAGATCACCCCAACTGGTAGATTAAATGTAGCATGGATTTACCTCGTCATTATTTCAGCAGCAACTTACTGTGTAACAGAGACTTTGGGGACTCTTTTATGTGATCGCTGAGTGGAAGGGTGAGGGCTTGGTTGGGGCTGGCCAGAAATGGAACAAGAACTGGGGAGAAAGAACCTATGAACTTTTTTGTTGTTTAAAAAGATTGTGACGAGTGAGGGAGCTTAGCATTTTATGCATAGACTCTCAAAAGACATAAAGAGCTTAAGAGATTGTCCAATCTAGTAGAAGGCTCCCCACCATGGTTTTCCAACAGATGGTTTTACCTTGAGCTGTATTAGCCCACAACACACTACCGGGGAAAATAATCTCAGTATTTCATATGCAAGTTTACTTCACTTTTGAGTGTTACTTCATTTGAGGTATATTCCTATACATTTTTGCCAATCAGATTAAATTTTCAATGGAAAACTCACTACTAGCAGATTTTTTTGGCAAAGGCTTTTTTTGGAAAGAAAAACAAACAAATCTTTCTGCCAGATAATTGAGCAATCACTTCCTAACTTTCTGTATTCTAAATTCAGCTATTCATGTATCAGTCAATTCATGAAGTTGTCTACTAAGGCAGGGAAGGAGGGGAGGGGTTGCAATCTAGGTGAGAGGAAGCTCCTGTACTAATGAAATCACATATCCTTGGAAATATTAAATCATCTAATCAGCAACTTTTCTTGAGCATCTTACAACAATTCTGCATTTAGCTATGCTCTGGAGGAGACACAGGGCTTGCTCTTGAGGTGTCCATAATCTGAATGAGGAGACATGCACCACTCACTTAAGGAAACAGCCTCAGATAGTGTATAATTAATGAAATGTTCATGGTCAGAGGGGAAAGGCTATAGGAGTTCAGGGAAGGGAGAGAATGAAGTGTGCTGTCTAAATTCAATTTTTGTAAATTGAATCCTATTTTAAATGCATTAGGGAGGCAACTATCCAAACCAACTCTGTGGAAGCTTTGTGTAATGTGAATACTTTCAAACTAATAGAGTTCTTTTATAGGGTCCCAGATTGAGAGCTCAAAGGAATCCTAACAGGCATTTAGTTCAACCCCTTCATTTTACAGATGAGGAAAGCAAGGCCCTGAAAAGTTAATTGACTTGTCCATGGTCACACAAGTGATAAGTGGGAGAGGAAGGATTTGATCCTGCGATGTCTGATGCCAAATTCAGTGCCCTTTAATTCCTGTATGGCGGGTTTTCCTTAATCTGGGCTTATCCTTGCTGCGGTTTACAAAAATGGTTTACCTCTCTGATTCCCAGAGCTTTTCTCTTCTTCTTCTGTGACAGGAGGAGGCTAGGAAGGGTCAAGAAGTGTGGCTGGAGGCTCCTGGAGCAAGGCTGGGGTGCTAAAGGGTACCATCAGCAAGTTCTTTTTTTTTGTTTGTTTGTTTTGGGTTTTTTGTTTTTTGTTTTTTTGTTAATTTATTTATTTATTCTTAGTTTTCAACATTCACTTCCACAATA